CCCGAGATATTTTAACTATTCAAGCTTCAACAGTGGCATCAGAGAGCGCTTTTAGTCAAGCAAGACTTCAACTCGGTGATTATAGGGAGAGTTTGGAAAAATCAGTACTTTTCAGAGATTGGATCCGGTCAGAAAGAAGAAATTTTGGACTTGCTGAATCACAACCAGATGAAGACGAAGCTTACGAAGAAATGCTAACTGAACTTGCGGAGGATGTTGCTTCGCTCGGGAGTGGCGATGACCAAGCAACTTTTCTGCCACCACCAACGGAAATTCCTCCGGACCTCNAGGATGTTAAATAAAATTTAGGTCACAATTCTATAATAAAATTTACAAAGCATTGCCTTAGATAGTTTTTTAACATTCTTTTGTCTCTAATATCTATTTATTTTTATTTTTTTAAAAATATATGTTGGACCCACTTAGTCCGTTTAGCCCGCGGGCCGGGACCGTTTAGTCCGGGACCAAACGGTCTCAGTTCCGGACCAATCCATACAAAAGCCCGTTTGGCCTGCCCCCATTTAATTTGGAACTGGCCCGGGACCGTTGAACCGGCCCACTTGACCCGTTTAGGTCCGGAATCGGCCCACTTGCCAGCCCTACACATAGAAGATTAAGGAACCCATAGTCTTTCTCAAAATTCTTTAGCAAAGAAGAACGGATGAGGAAAAGTTATTCCTCCAGGTCAACTCAAAAGCTCAACTGCTCAAGTGCAATTTGACTCTTCTTGATGATAAAGTACATCAATAAAAAGGTCAACATCATGTTTTTTTAAAACATATACAGCCTCGTCCCTCGAATTAAAGTAAACAACTTAAGATAAGAATTAGAATATTTTAAGTAATATCATATTTCTTAGTAACAAAATATTTTGTACTTGTAGTTCCTTATTACCCCTTTGAATTTTCATGACCGAATATTTTGTACGCTAAGTTGGACCAATTATGTCCATCATATTTTCTCTCGTAAATTTAAACCATCAAATACTAAAATATTCTGTTGTAAAGGACTTAGCGAAGAAAGATGACATTCCGTATAAAAATGTTGTTGTTGTATTTATTGATCGCCTTTTTATGACTTGATGACTTGTAATATGCTTAAAACTGATGTAGTAGAGTTTCATCTCACGAAGACGCTTGAATCAAGTAAATCTCTACTAATGCTACAAGCTATGTTGTACAATATCACTTTTTATATGCGGCAAAATATTTTAAATGAGATCCAATTTTAATGTGTTTAAGAATTGGATTCTTCTATTCAGTTATGTATAACACTTTTATGACCAACACAATCAATCATGAGCATGCGACTTATGATGATTGCGCTAACTTTTGAGCCATTAATAAAATATGTAAAGGGCTAAAGCTCAAGTCATGAACAAATATGACTCTAGAGTCGACTTATAGCTTCACTTGCCTATTTGGCTTTAAATCGCAATCGTAGGCTCATTAATCACCTAACGATTTTAAACTCGTCAAGTTTATCTAGTTGTACATTATTTAAAAAAAAAACTTTAGTCTTAATAGTCGAAAAAAATTATTGTCAACATACACTGAATGTAATAATGAGTAGTAAATCATTTAATAATTATTTTTTAATCTTTACATATATTTATTGTTACAATACAATACGTTTGTTGTTTATGTCTTAGAAAATAAATAAATCAATTTTAAAGTCCTTGGCATCATCTATCATCACTTGTAAGAGCTGCAGCTGTTTGATCCTGCAATACGATCCCCTTACCAAACAAAAGTTCAGAAAAATCCCCAAAAAGCCGATCCCCTTCCTTTCTTTTTCACTTGGTAATATGTTGTGATATTCCTATGGCTTCAGCCGTTTTATCCAAGAGTCTCTTTGCCTACCGCTTTCTTAAATCCTCCTCCACTTCCTTACTCTGCCCAAAACCCCGATTTTCGCTCTCTGCCTTCACCGTGAGTTCTCCTTATATTCTTTCACTACTTGCTATTTTTTTGCTTCTAGTTGTATATGCAAATCTGGTTCATTTTGATGATGATGCATTTTCTTCAGTTGGTCATTGTTATCATCATAGTTGCTATTTACTAAACCGGCCTTTTGTGAAGATTATCCATTTGATAATCGCGTCTTGCAAATAAGATGTCAGTTAACTTTTTTGCTTCGGGTTCAATAGAATCCATTAGCTTTGTCTCACCCTGTATAGGTGTTAAAGATGTCAGTATTTTTTGTTAGAAGTTTTTTTCTGAAAAAGTACTTTTGGAGAATAGAGTTTGTGTTTGGCTAATCAATTTGAAAAACATTTTTGCTAATATTACAGCATCGATTTGTGATTGGCCAAGGTTCCAAAAGTTCCATTTTTGAAAAGCTGCTTCTGGCTCTGCCACTACACAAAAGCATTTATTTTTTATTAAAAGCTTGGCCAAATATCTCAACTCTCTAAAATAAGCATTTTGTTTTTCAAAAATAACCATTTTCGACTTCCCAGAAGCTTGGCCAAACAGGCTACAAGAGTTATTGGATAATTTTAGTTCTTGGGAAAAGTGTGGTTTCTTTCATGTCATGTGGAAATTTGTTAGCAGCACAACAACTTTCTGGCTCTTATATATTCTTGTATTTATTTGCCATAAAAAGTTGACAACAGTGTTTATCATTTGCTTAATCCTTGCAGAGGAAACCATTTCATTTGCAAGCAGCTCCAATCTACTACTCTAACAAGGTTATTGATTCTTTTACTCGTATGGCTTCCTCAACTGTTGGGGCACAACCATCATTCTCAACACTAGCAATGTCAACCAATGAATCGGTTGTTTCAGTTGACTGGCTCCATGCAAACCTCAGAGAGCCTGACTTAAAGGTGTGTGATTGATGTTTTTAATCTTACTGCAGCGCTTACCAGGCAAACGCTTGGTAAACAATAAAAATGGTGGGTGGAGCCAGGAATTTATACAAGGGGATTCAAAATTGTCACACTTGGGATCTGAACTTATGACCTAAAGCAATTTGTGAACTCTTTTCGCCACTTGTAGAACTTTCCCCTGTGTCAAGGGGATTCAACAACTTATCAATAGCTAGCTAACAAAACTAGTTTTGCCTATTTGCACAGTATAATGTTTCGATGAAGGGGCTTGATAAAAAAATGTTTCGACGAAGGAGATTCAATTGAACCCCCTTCCTTCAAGTATGGCTGTTATTACAACGGTCTAACTACATTTTCTGTTCTACATATTAAACCTAAAGTTATGATATTTTTGCACTCAGCCCAAGCCTTTCAAATGTACAATGATTTCCTTTTTCTTTTCAAATCTATTTAGCAATGCTTTTGCATGTGTTATCTTTCTCTTTCAATTAGTTGGGTGAGGAGTGTGGTGCAGGTTGTATTATGTAAGGCATCTGTCATACAGAACTGAAATGTTGTTTCTTTTTCCTTTTTCCTAAAGGTGTTAGATGCATCTTGGTACTTGCCAGACGAGCAGAGAAATCCACTTCAGGAGTATCAGGTGGTGGCTCCTAAGAAATTTTTGTTTGATGACACTGCTTTATCTTGATTCTTTGATTGCTTTGTAGTAAATATGTTCATAAACAAGCAATTTTCATTTTCTCATTAGTTTCTTTTATGGTAATTTGTTCAACAGTGCCCTTCTTTCTGTTTTTTCTGGTAGAATTTTTCTAACTTTGCTTTGAACAGGTCGCGCACATTCCTGGAGCACTGTTCTTTGATGTGGATGGAATATCTGATCGAACTACAAATGTGAGACATCTTCCCTGCTAAATTTTTTTCTCCTCTTCAAAGAATGATTTTGCTCTATGTAAAGGCAAGTTACTAACCTTCTCTGGCTTCAGTATTGTACCATCTTTGTTTCATTTTAGTCCCATCTGTTTCTACACTTGTAGTAGATGCTTTAGCTAGTCATCCGACATGCTTTTGAGATGGATGTCATCACCTTTTATGGTATAAAAAGCTTCATTAATTGGTTGATTTATCAGTTGCCGCATATGTTGCCATCTGAAGAAGCATTTGCAGCTGCTGTATCTGCTCTTGGTATCAAAAACAAAGATGGTGTCGTCGTATACGATGGCAAGGGCATTTTCAGTGCGGCTCGTGTTTGGTGGTGAGTTATTCATTTGATGATAAAAGGCAGATAAGCCCATGTCATCCAAAAGTGACTAATCGATAGCAAAATCGGTAATCAGGATGTTTCGAGCCTTTGGACATGACAAAGTTTGGGTTTTGGATGGTGGCTTGCCAAGATGGCGTGCTTCAGAATATGATGTCGAATCAAGTGCATCTGGTGACGCGATTCTGAAAGCTAGCGCTGCCAGTGAGGCAATAGAGAAAGTATATCAAGGACAAATGGTAAGATAAATACTGTTTCCTATGAGCTTACTGTGCTTGAATATCCTTTAAAAAAACAAGATTTCCACAAAAAAGTTAATTTTTCTTTAACCATTCTAAAGCATAGCACCTTTTGATGCAATACTGTAATAGGACAATATTCTCTGAGATAGGCTGTATTCTTGGACTTTTGCTGCATCATACCAAATTTTGTTTAAGAATTGTCTTTCTTGGTGCTTCCTGAATATCCGGAGGGCTCAATGGACAAGAGGGTGTCTACTTCTGGGTTTCATGTTTAACCTTCGTTATGTAAGGGATGTCAACTTTTGCTTAAAAGTCAAGTCAGACTGTCTTTTTAGATTCTGTTCTCCTTTGCTTTGTGTACAAGAGGTGGACTTAAAAACTCCTACTCTATGCTTAAGGAGTCAATTAAATCCATCATGTTTCCTAGCTCCTTAACTCTATTCACTTTGTTTGAAAAATACAAATAGTGAAGATGACGATACTTTACAAAGGTTATACGTTCGTTTTCTCTTTTAACACCTATGATTCCCTTCTAACCATATAGTCCAGATTATACACAAAAGTATGGAGCACCAAATCTGTTTCTTATTCTTTCCAGTCTTTTGCTCTTGTCAACTGTTGAGAGATTGCTTGAAATCTCTTGGCATGTCCCAAATAAACCCAACTATAGTTACAATCTTTTTCCATATCTGCCAGAATTATCTGCAATGAAGAAAGAGATGATTGACTTATTCTAAGGAATCTTCACACTAAAAGCATCTACTGCACAATGGATATTCTCACTTATGCTATGTTGCACAGACTTTCCAAAATGATGCCGCACCCGTGTCGGATCCTCCAAAAATATACTATTTTTAGAGGATCCGACACTCAACCGGCAACATTTTCGGAGAGTCCGAGCAACATAGCTCTTATGTAATTGTTTTTTCACTACAACAACAACAACAACAACAACCCAGTATAATCCCACTAGTGGGGTCTGGGGAGGGTAGTGTGTACGCAGACCTTACCCCTACCCTGGGGTGGAGAGGCTGTTTCCGATAGACCCTCGGCTCCTTCCCTCCAAGAACTCCCCACCTTGCTCTAGGGGTGACTCGAACTCTTTTTCACTATCTTCTGTAAATTGTGTCGAGTCAAGCGAGCATCATGACTTACAATCCACCCAAAACATGCTACTTTTGTGGGGACTTTAACCTCCAAGGTCGACAAGAGGGGTTGCTCCGATGGTCAGCACTCCCCACCTACAATCCCAGGGTCGTGGGTTCGAGTCACCAAAGGAGCAATAGCTCCAACAAAGGGGGATTAAAAAAAAAAAAAACCTCCAATGTCACTGATTTTCCAGATCTGCCAGACTTGTCTGCAACGTAGAAAGAGATGATGCACTGATTCTAAGGGATCTTCACACGGAAAGCATCTACTGCATAATGGATACTCTCTCTTCTGTAAATGGTCTTGAGACTTCCTCTTCATATTTTGGAATCTTGTCGATACATCTCCAGTTTAGTACACATTGATAAACTTTGCCATGCTAAACATCTATTACATTCTCCCACAGCTATTTCTGCTGTCACGATGTCTCCAGTGCCATTTGAAGAGTAGGATTTTGTTATGATATTTCAAGTTCTTGACTCCTGCTCCACATTTTTTTTCCATGGATACGGTAGACCATATGACTAGATCTTTCTCGTCTTCTCAGAATTGCCTTCCTATAGAAAAATTGCTTCTTATGTTATTCAATTTCTTTCCAACACTGGAAAGTATAGGCAGTAAGGACATCAAGTAGGTAAGGATGTCATCCAAAACGCTATCGGCCAGTGTAAGTCTTTCCCCTAAAGATAAGTATTGCTTCTTACAGGGAGTTGGCTTCTTCTCACATCTATTAATGAAACTTCACCAAGCACCAAGGTCTTTAAATTTTGCTCCCAAATACTGGGGAAGGTAGACAATAGGGAATGTTTCCACTTCGTAACCTAAAATCACTGCCAAATAGTGTATCACCTGATCAGCATCACGGGAAAAATACATGCAAGTCCTGAAACAAGGTTGGAGACGAAATCATGGTCAAACTTAACCGACAACCAAAGCATTAAGAGTCGTGGTCATGTATCATAGCTTAATCGGAAGGTACTAGGAGCCACTGAAGATGGTCAATCTCATATTCGTGTACCCTCTATAAGGTCATCCATGGAATGGAATAGGAGATCTCCAGTTAGGTTAGGGATTTGAAGCCTGAGGGTTGTGAATTCCTTTACATAGTCTTTCGATGGTGTCAGTTTGCTTCGACTCCTTCAACTTCCGCCAAGCCTCATATATGACATTGACAGGATAGGACTGGTTTTTGAGCTCAGTCTTGAACTGGTCCCCAAGTGCCACTGTGACAAAGACCCTTCTCCATGTCAGCTTTCTTTCTGTGCCACGGGGTGACAGTGTTGGTCAGATATAGGATTGCGTTACGTACTTTCCCACATGTTCAATCGCGAAAGCAAACTGTCCAAGTGGTACAGTTAAAACAGCAGTCTTTGTGCTGAATCATTTATAAAATTTACCTTACCTTCCAAACGAAGGCAAACTGTCACAAGTGCTGCAAGCACGCTTAGTTTAAGACCTAGGCTGTGACAAGGTGGTATCAGAGAACCTTGTATTCCTACATTTGCTCTGACCAATAGATTGAGAGCATATATAGTGTTTCTGTAAGACTGTAACATAATGATATCCAACTTTTACGGATTAATTGAATTTTAAAACTCTTGCATTCTATCTCGACATGTAAGTTTAACATCAAGGATTATAAATTGGAGCTTTTGGTAATTTCTTCTGTTTACTGCAGTGCCAAAAGTTTCAACTAACTAATGTTGTTTTCCATAGCATGAAGCTTTTCGAAGTAAATGATATGATATTTGACAATTTTCTATTTTCTTTCAAGCTCTGTCTTCTTGGGGCATGAATATGATGAATCTTTGCAAGTACCTTTTTTCCCGTTGGAATATATGTAAATAGAGTTGAAACATCAGTTTTTCTTGCCTTATAAAAATTGTCGGTACATTTTCACTCTCCCTCTCTTTGTAGCTTCTGAAATTGTGCATTTAATGTATATTGTTTTAATATTTCTCTTAGAAATTTTTTTTGTGCAGGTTGGACCTACTACCTTCGAGACCAAGTTTCAGCCGCATCTTGTCTGGAATCTCGATCAGGTTGGTTTCCTTGTTGTGCTTTCTGCCTACAGCACTTGCTGGGAGCAGCATCTAGCCATGTGTCACCGAAGCTGGTGGTAATGGCAAGGAACTTTTCTGGATTATCAAGACCTAGGCTGTATACAGATTCAAACTACTTATAATTACATTATTTCTTGTTCCAGATACAATTTAGAGCTGATGGATGGTAGGTCTAGAGAAAAGGGACAACATGAACCGAACTAGTAACAGATTGTGATTAGTGGGTATTAAGCAGCTTGTTGATTCATATTTGTGACCCTTAGTGCAACTTTATTCTGCAAAATCCTGCTCCAGTTTCCTTGAGTGACTGTGAGAGCTCCACTGAGTTTCTGAAGAAAATCTAGGATTATGACCTTTATTGGTTGTTTTCTGCTTAGGTCTGTTTCATTGTCTGGAGAAACTGGTTATTGCCGCTCTTTGTGAATATCAACTGTTGGATGACTGTATGATAGTCCAATATGGGAAAAAATGCGAACACAATCTTTGTCCTTATTTTTACATATGTCAACAAGATTGATCTTTCAATATGCTATCCATATTTAACTATATTTGTGATTTTTTGTCATTAATTCTAGCTTAGTTATAGATTTGGAGATATAATTTGTTTATATTCTCAGGTTAAAAGGAACATTGAAGACAAAACATATCAGCATATAGATGCTCGATCCAAAGCTAGGTACTTCATTATGTCTGCAAACTAATTTCTTTATACGTGATAGACTAATATGCTAAGCTATTTGCTCAACAATACATGTACCAAGATGAGAAAGTTATTTATATATTTTATTTTTGTCAGTTAGTTCTTGAAGCAATTATAGCCTTTGTGACCATTAGATTTTACTTCTCCCTCCTAATTTATGTGACACATTAAGTTTCAAAATGTTTCACATGTGCTACGAATAGTAGTGATTTTTTATTGGACCATCCCATACCTCAAAGATTTCAACTTCATTAAAAGCACAAAGTTAACTAATGAGGTGATGCTCTCCTTTTCAACAATTAGTTCAATATGCTAGTCAAATAGTCTTTGTGCCTTGGCAAATATGTCGTATGATTAGAGATGCGGGAGTAATATCTTTTGGCATGTCTTGCTGGATGCTCTACTTTTGAATAATTTCTTCAATATGCTAGTCAAAGAGTCTTTTGCCGTATTATGTTTTATGATTAGAAAGGTCGGAGTAATATATTTTGGCATGTCTTGTCATCTAGATGGCCGTGATCGAATATATGAAAATTTTTCTTTCTTATGATACATTATGTTTAGGACATGAGGGCAGAACCCTACTACTCCTGATGTGACTGTCGGCATAGCCAAATTAAACATTTAGCAATGGCTCCAATTAATGTGCCTTAGCTAGTAGGAAAAATTAGATATTTCAGTGGTTACCCTAGGGAAATGGAATCCTGAAGATGTTGCAAATATATCCTTCTTTGATCTGCTCAAATTCACCATAGTTATAGAGTAAGGATTTATTAGTGTTTTAAGACATCTCACATATCTACTGGTTCATGAATGGACCACTCATTATGTAATGTCTTAAATAGGTAAGGGGTGCTTATATATGTTTTCTTTACAGATTTAGAATATTATAGCAACTTCTTTTTTTAACTGATGTGAAAGGAGCATTCTCACATTGTCCCCACGGGTTACTCACTTGGCAAAGGTTGAGGAAGTTGTGTCTAGGTCACAGGTTGGAGTCCTGTGCCGAGCAAACTAACTTTAGTTTTTAAGTGGAGAAGGGTAGAGGGGCGGACCCATTGTCCCCGAGTTCCGAAGGTTGCAGTTGGCCCAAAGCGTCGGGTCCAAACGTATTTCTCGGTCATAAATAAAGAGGGAGCATTCTCACATTATCTTCTACAGTAGGATTTCTTCCCTTATTGGCGCCATCACTTTGCTTAGAAATAAAAAAATATTGATTTCTGCTGTCTTTTAGGTACTGTATCATGATGGTCTAGGAAAAATCATCTTAAGAATAGTTTTTACAGGTTAGGTCATATCCACATTTCAAGTTGTTTTGGTGAAGTTGCTTTCTTAGTCATTTTTATTTTCAAGAATTATTGTTTCTGCATAGTCATATCATGGAAGCTAGGCGCAGTATTGCTTGTCCAAGAATGAGTAATTGTGCATATCTTCTCTTTTCATTTAGCTATAACACAGATGCTGCTCTCTTCTGTTTTGAGTTTAAAACAAAGCTACATCGATGTGGTACCCAAAGACGTACAAACATAAGATATGTTGGTGTGGAGTAACAGTTTATGTTTTTTTGGATAATTAAAGATAAATGTACCTGACATTAGATTAGGAAATAAGCTTTTATTAAAAGGAGATAATAGAGGCCATAAATTCAAAATCTACTACACTTGACTGAAGCAAGTGGAACTGTTTTAATGTGTAAAATTTTCCAGAATTCATTTTAAGCAAGCTTAATTTTTTCTAGAGTTAATCAATATTTGTTTATTTATCTAGAGTTCTGTTTTGCACCTTTTTAGGTTTGATGGTGTTGCACCAGAGCCTCGAAAAGGAATAAGAAGTGGACATGTACCTGGGAGCAAGTGTATTCCGTTTCCACAGGTGAGGATCTGTGTGTTGAAGAAAAATGGTCTTTTCAGTATTCTGAAGCAGTTATTCTATTTCATCTCTTGTATAAACCATTTCCTGCTTGAAATTGAGATATGGCGAAGTATTTCCACTTGAATAGGTAAATTATTTGTATGCTAGTTCCAAAATGTATTTGATGCTTTGATACCAAAATAATAACAAAGTAAGAAACAACTAATTAAGTTAAACTTAATTATAGACATGAAAATTTCCGTACAAATGGGCTGGCTTCAACATCCAGAGGATGGCTTACCAAGCCACACAAACAGTAAATTTGCTTATAGTCGCAAAAGTTTTTCTACCAATGGGCTGGCTTCAACATCTTGAGGATGGCTTGTCAAGCTACGCAACTCGGAAAACTTTTGTTTTACAACTAAATTTAGCTGTTATAACTTAGAAAATGTTCGTACTACAACTAGCTAACTTTCTTAGATTATTCTTAGTTCATTTTCATATAAGGATCAGCCTTTTCATCTATTTCGAAAGAAAGAACAAAAGAGAAATTTAGAAGGAACTCGTATATAATATATCACAAAAATTTACAATGGTTACTAGATGATCTTCTTAGTACTACATAGCCTCCTTTATATAGGGGATAAAAGGTTATTACAAGACAAACTTATCTACAAGTGGGTTCCCTTCGACATGTGAAAGACTTTAGCTAAAATAACTATTATACATGACAAAGCTTGTGAAAGTATGTGAAAAATGGGTAATATACATGACAAAGCATGTGAAAGCATGTGAAAGAAGGGTGATATATATGACACAGCATGTGGAAACATGTGGAAGCATGTGAAAGTGGGCCCCAGAGAGTATGTAAATATGAGAATTTTTTTGTTGATATGGATAGATGATTTTTAGGGTTTTTTGGCCGGTAATATGGGATTAAGATGAGAATAGCATGAGTTAAGGTTCAAATCCTCATTATCGGTTGGCGTCGATTCTGCACCGTATCTGGCCTTGTCTTCTGGGCTTCTTTTCAATTATCTTGTGTAGTACCGCTTGGTGCTTGATGATCTTGTTCCGCTGTGTTCCTTCTCCTCTGTTGGTAGAATTTGAGATGTAACATCAATTATGTAGTCTCAACCTGGCGACATCATGAGTGATTTTATATCGGATGCTTTCGTAAAGTGTCTGGTGTTCCTGTGCTGCTTCTCGGACCCGTTCCCAATGGGGATGAGTGCTGGTATAATTTCAATTTGCCCATTCCTTTGGCCATATTTCTCTTGGAATATACTTATTTTGCTGGAAAATAATACTTTGTGCTTTGATGTATTCTTCTTCCATGGATAAAATGGAGATGGAGAATTTCCACCAGAATGATATTTTTGCTTCTGCCTGAACCATTCTGTTAATAATCTTCACCAGTCTATGGAACATGAATATCTCCGCTTTGCAGGAATCTTTGAAATATTTCATCCAATACCTATGAGGCTTGAACCATAATAGAAACACTTTAAGAGCAGGTTCAATGTTGTTAAAGTCCTTGAACACATTGCACTTGAATTCCATGAAAATATAATACTGGTGACATAAGTATTAGAAAAATCATGAAAGTTCTTGGGAAATTCTCTGGCTTGTGCTATGAATACGTGACAAAATGGATATTCTGATTGACCCCAGATGGTTTAAGAATGGATCATCCGTGTTGCAGAAAAGTCTAGAGCTCGTAGTAAGTTCTTTCCATTATGATGGAGGGATCAAAGGGATTTATGAGGTTGAATAACTCTGGTGGGTGATATGTCGGTTTTAATAAACTGTTTTCTGAGACATTCGTAAACATAAAGATCTGGCTGGTGGGCTTTTATTTTGACCTCATCTTCTTTGGTGAAAATCTTTTTGAGATTTTCTATCTCGACTAGAAGAATTCTCAAAAAGATTTTCGCCAGAGAAGATGAAGTCAAAACAAAATCCAACCAGCCAGATCTTTATGTTTACAAATGTACCAGGAACCAGTTTATTAAAACCGATAGATCACCCATCAGAGTTATTCAACCTCATAAATCCCTTTGATCCATCCATCATAATGGAAGGAAATTACTACGAGCTCCGGGCTTTTCCGCAACACGGAGGATCCATTTTTAAACCATATGGGGTCAATCCAGAATATTCATTTTGTCACATATTCACAGCACAAGCTAGAGATTTTCCCCAAGAACTTTTATGGTTCTTCTGGTACTTATGTCACCAGTATTATATTTTCATGGAATTCAAGTGCAATTCGTTCAAGGACTTTGACAACATTGAACCTGCTCTTAAAGTGTTTCTATTGTGGTTCAAGCCTCGAAGGTATTGGATGAAATGTTTCAAAGATTCCTACAAAACGAAGATATTCATGTTCCATAGACCGGTGAAGATTATTAACGGAAAGGTCCAGGCACTAGTAGAAATATCATTCTGGTGGAAATATTTCGTCTCTATTTTATCCATGAAAGAAGAATACAAAAAAGCACAAAGAATTATCTTCCAACAAAATAAGTGTATCCAAGAGAGATATGGGCAAGTTGTACCACACTTATCCCCATTGGGAACGGATCCGAGAAGCAGCAAAGGAGTACTAGATGCTTTACGAAGTCATCCGATATAAAATCACCCATGACGTCGCCAGGTTGAGACTATATATTACACCTCACATTCCACCAAGAAAAGAGAAGGAACACGACATGATCGTCAAGCACCAAGTGGTACTACAAAAGATAATTGAAACGAAGCCTAGAAGATAAGGCCAGATACGAAGCAGAATCGACGTCAGCCGATAATGAGGATTTGAATCTTAACCCATGCTATTCTCACCTTAATCCCTGCCAAAAACCCTAAAAATCATCTTCCCATACCAAGACAAATTCTCATATTTTCATACTCCCCGGGCCCCACTTCCACACACTTTGCCATATATATCACCCAACTTTCACATGCTTTGTGATGTATATTACCCCTCTTTCACATGCTTTCACAAGTTGTCTTAGCCCGTTTGTACCTGGCGATAGATGTGCTGACGCGACACATTCAATGGGAAGTGCCATGGTGTATGTTATTTGCAGATGACGATGACGTAGTACTGATTGACGAGAGGCGAGGTAGGGTTAAAGCTATGCTGGAGGTTTGGAGACAGACCCTGGAGTCTAAAGATTTCAAGTTGAGCAGGATCAAAACAAAATACTTGGAGTGCAAGTTCTGTGAGGGGACTTACGAAGTAGATGTGAAGCTTAGTCAAGTCTATCCCCAAGAGAAATAGTTCCAAGTATCTTGAGTTTGTAACCAGGGTAACATGGAGATTGACGAGGATCTCACTTATCGTATTGGAGCCGGGTGGATGAAGTGGAGGTTCACATCTGGTTTTTTGGGGGATACAAATGTGCCATTAAGACTTAAAAAGGGTAACTTTACAGAGTGGTGGTTTGACCGACTATGTTGTATGGGGCTGAATGTTAGCTAGTCAAGAAATCCCATGTCTAGCAGATGGAAGTGGCAGAAATGAGGATGTTGAGATGGATGTGCGGGCATACCAGGAAAGATTAGATTAGGAAGGAAGTTATTCGGGATAAGGTCTGAGTGGCCCCTAAGGACGAAAAGATGTGGGAATCGAGGTTGAAGTGGTTTGGGCATGTGAAGAGGAAGAGGAGAGGCATAGTGGCCCTGTTTAGGAGGTGTGAGAGGTGGACCACGGCGGGTCTGAAAAAGGGTAGAGGTAGGCCCAAGAAGTACGGGAGATTGGTGATTAGGCAGGACATGACATTGTTTCAACTTATCGAGGACATGATACTCGATAGGAAGGTGTGGATGTCGAGAATTATGGTTGAAGGTTGACAGGTAGTCGAGAGTTTCTCCTAGTCTTACCAGTAGTATTACTATAATTTTTGTATTTTCTTATTCATAGATCTCTGTTTCTATCTGCTATATTGTTCGCTTTTGTTATCTTATTTCCTTGTTGTTATTGTTTGTTGCTTCCTTTTCACCGTCCCTTGAGCCAAAGGTCTAGCGAAAACAGTTTCTCTATCTTTACAAGGTAAGGGTAAGGTCTACATACATATTACTCTTCCCAGACCCCACTTATGGGATTACACTAAGTTTACTGCTGTTGTCATGTATAATAGTTTTTTACCTAAGGATCTTTCACATGTCTAACGGGACCCACTTGTAGATAAGTTTGTCTTGTAATAACCTCCTAGCCCCTCTATAAAGGAGGCTATGTAGTACTTGGAAGATCATCTAGTAATCATTGTAAATCTTTGTGGTATATTATATATGAGTTCCTTCTAAATTTCTCTTTTATTCTTTCTTTCGAAATGGATGGAAAGGCCGATGCTTATATGAAAATGGAATAAGAATACTCTAAGAAAGTTAGCTGGTTGTAGTACGAACGTTTTATGAGTTATAACAGCTAACTATGGTTGTAATGCAAAAGTTTTCTGAGTTGCGTAGCTTGGCAAGCCATCCTTTGGATGTTGAAGTCAGTCCATTGGTAGGAAAACTTTTGTGACTACAAGCAAATTTATTGTTTGCGTATCTTGGCAAGTTATCCTCTGGATGTTGAAGCCAGCCCATTTGTAGGAAAACTTTCTTATCTAAAATTAAGTTAACTTAGTTGTTTCTTACTTTGTTATTATTTTGACGGAGTATTGACTTTCAAGCATTGGTATCATCTGGACTATCGGATGCATGACATTGTAGGTTTCTCACATTGACAATAAGGAAAACCATGAGCTTCTTCTAAGTTTGATACATTTTGCTTAAAACCTTTTGAACGGAGTGTTAAAGAAGAAATTTCAATAGTTTGCCTCTCGTGTCAGCCATGAATCATTGTGGGCATATTGGGCTCTTGGATTCTACACTGATGCCCTTGTCTGTCTGCAAAGATTCTTGAAAGATGAGGCCTACCTGTCTCTTTGCCCTGCTAAGGGTGCACCTAGCATTGCACCTAATCCCTGGAAAAGACATTGTGTATAGCTACCTCTTCAATTTTCTTGCTTCTTTTCTTCGATGATTTATGCAAAGACCTATCTAGTTGAAGCTCTGAATCAACCTTGGATAGTCTCCAGCACTATGAGAGTTTGAACCAATGAAATGTGAGCTTCACACTGTTTTTGCTTGTAATTCCTTGTTTCCAAAAGCTTAATCCTAATTAATCCTAGACTAGATCAAGTTCTGTAGCTATATGATAAAATCTATCTGTTTGTGGTGATTCTTTTCAGATGCTGGATGGCTCGCAAACACTCTTATCCCATGAAGAGCTCAAGAAAAAATTTGATCAAGAAGGTAACAATTGGTCTCGTGTTCTTAGCTTAGAGTTTGAGCATGTTTCATTTATGTGGTTTTGCTTTCCTGCTATTTTTAGTCTTGTTGAATATTAGATCTCATAAAAACAGTGAGCCATATGTGAAAGAGTGCGTGCTTGTTTGAGGCGGGTTTAAGACCTGAAGCTACCATGAAGCTCAGGTTGGGTGCTTCAGTGCAAGCTCCTCATTGAAAAGGCTTGCCGCTCATTGCCCATACAGTCCGGCACCTCCTTTAAGAGGGCAACACTACAATAAATATAGTCGGCAAAAATGGAACATTTATTATTAAGAACATTTTCCTTAGTGATTAGAAAAAAGATTTGAAACTTTAGTATATAAAATAATATTTACAAAAAGAACTTAACATTTACATGTAAATCAGAAAATATGAAATAGTATGTGAACTTAATTGACTTGACTTTTTCTTCATATATATCTCTTAATTATAGTTTTTTTTAAAAATAATCTGTTCTCCATATAACAACTGCGTGTATATTAGTTATTTTTTCTTGCATTAAATACATTTTTCTTTGTTTTTTAGCAATTTTTTCCCACTAAAACCATGCTTTAATTGCATTTTGTGCTTTAAGCCCCAATATATTTTGGCGCTTTTCTATGCTTTTTGCCTCTGTTAGTTTACATGCCTCTGTTAGTTTACAGCATGTATATAGTGTAGTATTGTTCCACATTGGTAGAAGAGTAGTATGTCCTTGTATAGTATAGCTATAAATAAGGACCTCTTGTATTGTATTGTTCATCCAATATCAATAACATATTTTTTCCCATGCCTTCTCACATGGTATCAGAGCAATTGTGAGAGACTTATCGCTGTGCATAAATTCCAGCGATTCCGGGAAAGAGAAATCGCTGTGCATAAATTCTAGCGATTCCGGGAAAGAGAAATCAGTACTTTTTTAAGGCTGTTTTCTATCTGCTTCATTTCTGTCAGTGTTGTGCAAAATCCAACACTACCACAAGAGTCGTCACTGTCCGGCGACCAAACCCCAGTGAAAAAATCC